CCAAGATTGGATGTCCACCTTGTCTCCTTAACATCATCAGGTCCTTCCACGATGGAATGAAAGGCACTGTAGTTTTTGACGGCTCAACATCAGATCCCTTTGACATCCGAAGCGGAGTGAAACAGGGCTGTGTCCTCGCACCAACACTTTTTGGGATCTTTTTTGCTGTCATGCTGAAGCATGCCTTTGGAACTGCAACAGAAGGTGTCTATCTCCGGACTAGATCAGATGGAAAGCTCTTTAATCTCTCTAGATTGAGAGCGAAGCCCAAAGTCCAACTGAAATGCATGCGGGACTTCTTCTTTGCAGACGATGCAGCCATTGTTGCCCACTCTGCTGAAGACCTCCAACAACTCATGAATCGTTTCAGCAAGGCCTGCCACGACTTTGGACTAACAATCAGCCTGAAGAAAACACAAGTCATGGGCCAGGGTGTGGACTCACCTCCCTCTATTACCATCTCCACACAAGAATTGGAGGTTGTTCATGACTTTGTGTACCTTGGCTCAACCATCTCTGACACCCTCTCTCTAGATGTCGAGCTGGATAAACGTATTGGGAAAGCAGCCACCATGTTCTCTAGACTCACAAAGAGAGTATGGCTCAATAAGAAACTGACAACACATACCAAGATCCAGGTCTATAGAGCCTGTGTCCTGAGCACACTCCTGTACTGCAGCGAGTCCTGGACACTTTGTGCCCGGCAGGAGAGGAAGCTGAACACCTTCCATATGCGTTGCCTACAACGGATTTTTGGTATCACCTGGCAGGACAGAGTTCCAAATAGAGTAGTCCTAGAACGAGCTGGAATTTTCAGCATGCATACATTACTGAAACAGCGACGTCTACGCTGGCTTGGGCACGTTGTGAGAATGGCTGATGGTCGGATTCCAAAGGATCTCCTATATGGAGAATTAGTGCAGGGAAATCGCCCCAGAGGGAGACCACAGCTGAGATACAAGGATATCTGCAAGCGGGATCTGAAGGCCTTAGGAATAGACCTCAACAGATGGGAAACTCTGACATCTGATCGTTCAGCCTGGAGGCAGGCAGTGCATCACGGCCTCTCCCAATTTGAAGAGACCCTTGTCCAGCAGGCCGAGGCAAAGAGGAAGTCACAAAGGAAGCAAAACCAGGGAGCTGGACAGGGGACAGATTGGATTTGTCTCCAGTGTGGAAGGGATTGTCACTCTCGAATTGGCCTCCTCAGCCACACTAGACGCTGTTCCAAGTCCCCCATACAGAGCACGCTACCATAGTCTTTCGAGACGGAAGGACAGAGCTCCTACTGAACAACTGCAGTCCAAAGCAGGGAATAAATGTCAGCTGGACTCCTTTTGGGCAAATCATAAGCTGAGGGGTTGTTTGGGTCAAAGGTGGGAGCAAGCGGGAGAGACAGGGAGGCAGAGAAGATGGCCCTGGTTCCCCAGAAAGAAGACCTCCTTGTTCCTCCATCCCATTGCTCACCTGCCTTCGGCAGCCTCTCCTTCCTGTACTGCAGGTATATCTGCAATCCCTTGATGCATTCCCCCTCCAGGTAGGCCTTCCGTCTCTGGGCAAGGGCCAGATCCTTCTCCCACTCCTCTTTGGTGATCTCGGCCTTGGAATCAGCAGCCGTCCAGGTGAGGGTCTCCGTGTCGAAGCTGAGGTAGTCCCTCCCGTCGTAGGCGTACTGCCAATGGCCTCCCCCTGGGCTCCCGTCCTCCCTCAGTTCACAGCCGCACATCCACTGCCAGGTATGAAACCCTGAAAGAGACCCACATGGGGGGGTGAGAGGAAGACAGAGGAGAAGGGCATTCCCTGCCCCCACCACCCTCAGCCCCACTTGCCAAGCCCCATAGCCAAGCCTCCAAAGGGAGGATTTTCCCTCAGGAGAGGCAAAGGCCACCAGGAGATTCTCCACTATGGGGAGCCCCTCAGGAGAAGAAAGGGAGCCATTTGAGGGTCTCCTTCTTTCCCTCCTGGGAGCAGCACCTGCCTCTCAAGGGAATGAAACCCCAAGAGACACCCCACAAAAGGGCAGAAGGGGTGCCCCCACATAGGGGGGCAGACCCCCCCTGCCCTGCCACCTCTGGGCCCCACAAAAAGAGGCCCAAGAGGGAATCCTTATCCCAGTTGTGGGGCAGAAGGTGAGAAAGAGCAAAAGACTAGTCCTTCGGGCGCAGGACCTCCCTCCACGGCCCCCACTGAGGCATCTTCACACACCCAAATTGGCCTCTTCCATGCCAGACTTTCTTCTCCCCCCTTCCCTCTCCTTGTATTTATGGAGCTGACTCTTCCTCCAGCACTTGTGGGTCAGAAAGGCTGCCACAGACAGCCCCTTCCCAGCAGTCTCCAAAGGGCCTTTGGGGGAGTGCTTCCCTCCCCATTTGCACTCTTGGGTGGGGGTCTGATCTTCTCACCCCCATCATGACTACAATTTCTGGCAACCCACAAAGAGGAAAGGCACATCCCTCTTCTGCTCCACTGCCTCATGAAGATGGTACAGTATTTGGGGTGTGGGTGTGCCTGAGGTTTGGGGGAATCCTCTTCTTGCTCAGTTTGGGTAGGATCCAAAGAATAAGGAGGATCCCCCCATCCCCTCCCCCCTTCCATGCAGAAGAAGGGCAGCCATCTTGCAAGAGCCTTGATCCCCCTTTTTCCTCCATTAACTCAGGACCACCTACTTGGAGGAAGGAAAACCCACACATTCTGGAGCTTCTGCTTGAAAAAGAGTCTCCATCTTGCCCAAGATGAAAAGGGCAGAGGATTTGGGGAAAAGTGGGGAGAGATCCCTTTGCAAGGAAGCCTTTCCTACCCACCCCCAGCCCTGCAAAAAGGGCAACTTCTCTGGATTTTCCTCTCCAGCAGCTGCTTCTCTGGGAGAAGGTAAGCTACAATACAGTGGTGCCTTGCTAGACGATTTCCTTGCAGGACAATTAATCTGCAAGACAATGACTTTTTCTGATCCCTATGGTGCCTCGCAAGACAATGGTTTCCTATGGATGATTTTCGGAAGACGATAATTTTTCCCCACTGAATAGGTTTCAATGCATTCCAATAGGGAACCACGTTCCGCAGGACAATGTTTCCTATGGACAATTTTCACAAGACAGCGATTTTTCAATTGGAACGCATTAAATAGATTCCAATGCATTCCAATGGGGAAACGCATTTCGCAAGACGATGTTTTCTCAAGACAGCGTTTTTCGCAGAACACATTAACATCATCTTGCGAGGCATCACTGTATAAGCCTGTGTCTTAAGCTATCTGTCAATAGAACAGCCTCTGGTTCCATCTAGTGACCAGTTCTGGTAATACGCCCTGTCCAAAGTGTTGTTTCTGGTTCCGAAACAAAACTTAGTACAGTGGTGCCCCGCATAGCGACGATAATCCGTTCCAAAAAAATCGTTGCTATCCGGATTCGTTGCTATGCAGGACTAAAAAACCCATAGGAATGCAGTAAAACACATTTAATGCGTTCATATGGGGGAAAACTCACCGCTATGCGGAAATCCTCCATACGGCCGCCATTTTCACTGCCCGGTATGTGAGGAATGGGCGCGAAAACACAGCAGGCGGCCATTTTTTCCAGCGGCCATTTTGGAACCGCCGATCAGCTGTTTTTAAAACATCGCTATGCGAAAATCGGTAAGTGAAACAGCTTACAATGCCAAGATTGGTAAGCGAAACGCTTACCGATCATCACAAAGCGATTTTTGGCCATTTAAAACATCTCAATGCGAACGCTTTTGCGATCGCTAAATTCACATTGCTATGCAGATTCGTTGTTAAACGGGGCGCTCATTAAGCAAGGTACCACTGTACCAAAGAGACTTCTTTAAGGTTCAGACTAAAACCTGGAGTGGATTCATCACCTCTCATGATATCCAATCACCAGTTTCCACTGAAATATACACTGTGCAGTCTTGACCCACCCAACAAACTTCAATTCAAATTTGGGGAGTCTGTGTAGCAATTTGTCAGGTAATCAGTCTATTGCCTCAGACAGAATTGCTTGCCCAAACTGCCTGTCCCTAGAATGGATCCATTCCGGAGGCTTTCAGGGTTCATGTCTTTCCTTCCTTATTCAAAACATAATTTGTGCTTCCATGGGTGTCCACACACATCTGACTTCCCTTCCTGAGTTTACTGAGGCTGGAACTGGATGGACCCGTGACACTCCCCACATCTCCCATGAGGCTAATCTGATGAACAGTTTGTGGGGTGAGGAGAGTTTTGACTGGGCTGGAATCCCCTGTTTCCTTCTTTCCAATCATCACCTCTCCTCACTTTCCTCCCCTGCAAGGGACAAGAACAAATGTGGGGGGTTAGGCAAAATCCTGACGTCTCTCCCGCCCTCCGCTCACCTCCACTTTGGTTGTAGTGTTCCTTCAGGACGGCCAGGTTCCTTCTGAACACCTGCTCGTTGTGCTGTTCTAGCTGGGTGTTCCTCTCCCAATATTCTGGATCCTCTTTCTCTGCCATCTTCTCCATCCAGGGCGCTCGAGGCTGCACTCTCCGGGTGATGCTGTCGTACAGAAAAAAGAGCTGGCCGTCCACGTATCCCACTGCGATGTATTTGGTAAAGCCCTGATTGGGTTCAGATATAGCAGTGGTGAAATGGTGCAGGGAGTGCGAGGAGGAGCCTGGAAAAGGGACGGAGAGAGGGGGAAGAATTAGGAGGGCCTGCAGATGGGGGGGACATCCTCAACCCCCCCCACTCCTTTAGATACACTTTTCAGACAGTTCCCATGCTAGACTCCACCGTCAAATTCTGTCTGTACACAACGAGGCCTCTCCGTGGGGCAAGAGTTGGATCCTCACAAGCAAGAAACACAAAACACACCTGGAACAAGGCATGGGGGGAAGGAGGGCAAGGCGCCCCCCCAAAAGGGGGAAAAGTGCAGAAGTAGGAAAAGTGAAGAAGGAT